TAGTAGTAGTAGTAGTAGTAGTAGTAGTAGTAGTAGTAGTAGTAGTATAGTAGTAGTAGTATCATTAAGCATCATAATAAATCAAGCCACTTTGGCTTTCCTCTTGAGCTCACCACTTAGGGGAGATAAAAGGGATTTACCAATTAGTAAAAAAAAAGAAAGGGTACTAGAAGGAAGGGAGTGATGAGTACAAAGTTTAGAGGAAAGAAACAGACTATTCCCATTTCCTTAGTAAATTAGTAATTTATCCACTTAGTAAGCAGATAAATTCCTCCAGATGCTCCAAAAACTAAATTTAATGAAGAACCTGATACCGACTGAATATCAGGAAAAACTCTGTAATGTCTAGAATTATTATGGAACAAATTCCTGTGAAAACTTTATAAGGGAGTAGTTTTCTGACTTTCAAAGCACTGTAGAAGAATGTATAGCAAAGATTCAGTTGCTGACATTAAAGAATGGAAATAATTCTTAATTTGGCATCTGTTCTAAAACTATATTGAAGGACCTACCTGCATTGCTGAAATGTCTCTTGTTGGGGTGACCATAGTTATCTCGCTGGTGCCCATGCATCTGTGGTCCATGGGAAGGAGGCAAATGAAGCTTCTGAGGGTGAAGGTTGTGAGGTGTATGAGACTGAGACATCAAAGAATCCCGGCTCGAGCCTGAAGGTTCTGGACGAAATGGTTTTTTACTGCCAGACATGTCGTCTTTCTTCTTTTGCTCCTGAAAGGGTATAAAATAGAAAACCTTCAAGAATTAAGAGAGAGCATTGATTTAATTATACTGGTCTGATTGAATTTTGCCCACTCATTATCATACATATAAGTATGATGTAAGTAATTTATACACTGTGGTGTAGCAAGAAATGTATAAACCCCATATACCTCATTTTAAGTCAGACCTGCCACTCTAATAGTAATACATACGCCAACATAATTCTGATCCATTCCTGCAAGGATAACTCCAATGGTTCATATCTGCTATAACAACAGATGAAAAAATCCATGAATTCCTACATTTAGATTGGTTGGGTAACTTATGGAAGTTAGAGAAAAACCATTAAGAGCCATTTAAAATCCTAAGGACTACTATCCCTATTAAACTAAGCAAAATAAAGAGAGTCTCTGTGTACCAAGCAGGAACTAACTAACCTGCCTCTCTCTACCTTTCAGAGTTATCAAAGTAAATTAACAAAGTGAACTTTAAAACTCATAAGTACCTATTGTAATGAGTTCATTACTTTCTGTATTGTCTATTTCATCAACTTTTGATGTCTATATTACTAAAATCCCCCTTTTTTCAAAGTATATTAATATTGCAGTTGGTTTTGAATGGCTATTTTTTGGAAAGAGCAATGGATTTATAGTCAGAAGACCTGGGTTTGAATCCCAGCTCTGCTACTTACTTTCTTGTGACTGTGGGAAATTCCTTTAACTTCTTTCATCTTTGTGGCTGTACTCTAAGTGGCTGACCTCTAAGATCTCTTCTAGCTCTAAATCTGATAACACTGTAACATAACCCAAAGTCCTACTCCCTCCAAGAAGCTTTCCTTGACAACTCTAGTTCACTATGAGTTTTCCTTTCCTCAAAATTGCTATAATATTTATTTGTACTACAAAATGTAATACTTGTTATATTGTTTTTCAGTGCTCCGTAGATTACAATACCTAACTTAGTGCTGAATAAATAGCTAGTGTTTCCTTTGAGAAGACTTGACTAAATGGTTTTACTTACTTGGGCTTTATCCAGCAGATCACCTTACCCCCCACAAATAGGCATGTTTCTCCAAGGAACATACCTTTGGCAGGAGCAATTATTTCAATTCAATTTTAATTCTCTTCATTGCCACAAAGGAAAAACAGAGGAATCTTCTTCATACCCACACCTATACTGTCTCCTAAATAATGGAGTAAGAGGGACCCTATGCACAAGCAGAAGGGAACTGAGTACAGCCCAGAGAATAATAGGAAATATTCTCTTAGACACGTATTTAGGCTTTATCCTTCTTAGACTCTGATCATCAGGTAATAAATGTACACTCTGACCAAATTGAGTATCTCAAAATTTTTGTTTATTATAAAAGTGAAGTCAACAAGAATTAGTCAAGCATATTTTGTGCTAGGCACTGTGCACATACACATCACATGTAAGTAAGAAGACTACTTGATTATTTCAGGATAATGGCTAAAGAGGTACAATCACTTCGTAGAGGTTTAAGATTGTTGTTTTTTTATGCACTTGACACTGCATTAGACCAGGAGTGGGGTGGCCTTCTAGGTCCATGGATGCAGCCTTTTGACCAACTCCAAGTTTTACAGAGCAAATCCTTTTATTAAGCGGATTTGTTCTGTGAAGTTTGGATTCAGTCAAAGGGCGGCACTTGAGGACTTAGAGGGCCACATGCGGCCTCGAGGCCACACATTTTCCACCCCTGCATTAGACCAGTGGGGCAGGTAGGTGGCACAATGGATGGAGCACTGGGCCTGGAATCAGGAAGACCTGAGTTCAAAGCTAGTCTCAGACACTTACTAGCTATGTAACCCTGGGCAAGTCACTTAATCCTGTTTGTATCAGCTTCCTCATCTGTAAAATCAGCTGGAGAAGGAAATGGCAAACTATTCTAGTATCTTTGCCAAGAAAACCCTAAATGGGGCCACAAAGATTAGGACAGGACTAAAATGACTGAACAACAACAATTAGATCTGTGTGCTGTACTACAGCTAATAATATTTAATTTTGCAGATCCCCTATGCAGGGTGAAAGAGAAGGGCAATATATTATTGTGAAACACAACACAGTCTTTCCAGGGAAAAATAAATCAAGGCATCTTGCAAAAGGCTTTTTTTTTTGTTTTCTAAGATTAGGGCTTTTTTTTTTTGTTTTCTAAGATTAGGATTAAATAAGAATCTTACCTCCTCCTCCTGAGATCTTTTCTTATGAGCCATTTTGTATAATTTGTGTAGTTTCCGAGCATCAAATTCTGTGAACTTGGATACAAAAATCCACAGGTTCCTAAAAAAAAACAGTAACAGAATTATAAAAATAAGCACCAGTCTTTTCTCCTCCTCCCACCCCTACCTCCACCACCCCTGCCATACAGAGAGCATACTACTGAGTTTGTGAGTTGTGTGATCTACTGGTACACACAGTTATAGAAATATTCTTCCAGGATTTTGTATAAGTGATTTGAACTTTACAAAGCATCACTGACAGAGTTGGACTAGAAAGTCAAGAGACTTGGTGTCCATTCCTATCAATTACTCAGCAACCTTGAGCAAATCATATATTCTCTGTTTCAATTTCCCTATCTGAAAAGGGGGGGGGCAGTCTTTAACCCTACCTGCCCCCAGAAACAGAGATGGC